TCGGGGTCGAAAATGGCATATAACGCACTTTTTCAAATATTGTATCGTTTATATCTCGAAAACTACGAACTTTAGGGACAAGTTCTAAATAAACCTTCTTGTTCAGAATGTCTCAAACACACTTTGGCTAGAACGAAAAAAATAATTTATGGAATTAATTTGATCGATTTAGAATAAGTAATTCTAACTAAAAAAAAAATAGTAACTCGATTATTTGAATGCTGAACGAGTGCTAGTGACTTATTATTAAATTAAGCGATTGCTCTAGTTGCACCATTTTGATTGAATGCTTAGGATCACTTGGAATAGTCTAGAAATAATAAAGAAACTGAAGAATTTCTTGGTAGTGTAATTTTTAGCTTGCTGTAGTTGTGACCATGGCTATTGAGAAACAATTTTTTTTCTGCTTCGAACAAACTAATAAGCGACTTCATGTCTGAAAAAGCCTAAAAATGGGCATCTATCCTTAAAAACTTGAATTTTCGGGTTGTCGAGTATCTAAATGAAAGTTCAAACTTTCAACTACAAGATAATGGACAATATTTCAATATTAGTTTATTTTAAAGCAATTTTACCTTGCTTGGAGGGCTAACAAATTTAGGTTTTATTTGGTGATTTTGGTAACCACTTCTATTAAAAGTATAAAAAATGCAAATAATTTGGCCTGGTTTCGTATCCCTATTCTCTATACGTTCTATCAGAACCTACGATCATTTATTCTGCTAAAAGATATTTTCGATATGAAATGAGCTTGAAAATAAAACAGTGCCGTCTGTAAATAGATGGGGGCAGTTGGAAGCAATAATACCATATAACTCACTGGTTTAAAAACAATAAAAGACGACTCCTTACATTGAAAAACCAAACTAGAAGAACTCAGACAAGTTTATTTTTATGCTGTTACTACATCATAAACGTTGTTTTCAATTTGCTGTATAAAACTATTGAATTTGTCATCACACTAATACCAGCGGAAAATAAATGACTGTTTTCGATCCACAGAGACAATTTATTTCTCAAAAATCATTCACACCAGGCATTCAAATACAAATATTTTGGCTGGCATATAAAATACGTCTAATATCAGAGCTTGACAAGTTCATGCGTTATCCATAATAGTCGTACCAGAATGAAAATGTATTTCTGCGAGGTGAAAACTCGCATAATCTTCATAAAACTGAATCTGGTGATATAAGATTTTTGACCACCCTGTAGAATTACGCATCTGCACTTGTGAAAGTAATACCAAAAATAAAAGTGATATTTTAAGCGATAACAGTAAAACGCGTGTACTATTTTTTTGTAATGTTAGATGCGCGTGTGGCAGGTTAAGTCTCGAGCCAAAGTATAATATAAATAATATATGTGAACGACTGATTTTGCACACCGCAAAAACTGCAAGTAGGGGGCGGTTGATATAAATTGTGTATAAATCGACTATGTTATTTTCAGCGGATTTCAGATTCAAACACAAAGGAGGCTATAAAATAACAAATTTATCGTCGTTGTTTTGACGAAAACCCCTATGTGTTTAGAAGCAGTTTTTACAAAATCACATAAAACGCTTTCAAATTTAAAAAGTTGTTTTCGCTTCCATTCACACCGATTTTTAGTAAGTCTACAGAATTACCTACTTCTTGTTATGAAACTCTTGTACATCACATAACGGAGCTCATATTTGAGTATACATATATTTAAAAAGCTCCGATGTAAAGAAATTTGTTAAATACATAGGAGGTTTCATCATAGCAATGGCATTACGGAGTTTTGATTCTATTTTTTCATTTCAATTTCATCACTGACAGTAATTCAAGATGTAAAGTCTGCTCTTTTACGATGTAGCTAGTCTACTAGCTATACTTTGTAACTACTTAAAGACCAGCATACCTAGAATTTTAGAAATAAATTATGTAGATGAATTTTGCAACAGAAATATGGTTAATAAAAATGTTTTTCAGAGATACAAAAAACTTGCTGAGTAACTTTTTCACTAACCGTCAAATTTAGTCTGATAAATGTATCATTTTCCGATAAGCTTTGAGCGAAGTATAAACTTTCGTTCGGGAAGAGTTGAAAATCCAAGATCGGCTGTCTTGAGTCTAATGAATAATTATAAAGTTTTATTAGTGCTTCGCAAACTTCTGTTACTTTCAGGAGAGCTTAGAGAGCTGAGATCTCGAAGAGTCTTTATTACTTCTCTCTTAGAGTTGGCATAGGTACTTAAATTTTCAGGTACATAAATTAATGATGGAGAGAGTATATTTTTGAAATCAGCTTTTTACTTCATCCATTTGCCGCAAGGCACACAGAGACCTGAATATCTTACTTTTTCGATATTCAAACCACCACGAAGGCCTAAACACCCATTGGCACTGTAGGGCTATAGTGGGATTCAGAGGAAAGGGGGGGGGGGACGCGACACGGATCCTAGCGAGCGAACATGCAGAGACCGTACAGGTATACCGCCTACGGACAATCACAACATCAATAGCAAGAGAGAAATTCTCTTGGGACGGGATTCGAACCCGAGCAGCGCACGGCGACTGATTAGTAGATCCATAACGTCTACTACTAAGCCACCGGTGGTGATGTCTGCCTAGAGCTAGAGATTAAATCAAAAAACAGGCGCACGGCTAGCGCTATGATCAAAATTAATTCGTGAACTTAGAACAATGAAAATTAGAACTTTTTGACAAAGCCCTTACAAAAATCAAATCCTTTTGAACCGCTTTAAAGTACGTCGAGAAATTTTAATAATGCCTACCCACTTCCTCTCCTAATAGAATCTCTTCTAACCCTTTGTTCTTTCCTTTCCTCCAATCTTTTCCTCTTTTTCTTTTCCTCAACTTTGTCTGGTTTCTGAGTTACTAGACCTGACAGGTTTACGGTTTGATACTATGACACGGATAACTCAGAGTCGATCACTTGATGGAACATAAATGAAATCCTATTACTTGGAATCTTCGGCAAGATATACAAAGGAGTTGAATAAGTTTCCTTTCAATGTACAAATTTCAAACACGTTTTTTACAACACGCTAGCAAAGCAACTAGGACAAACTGAAACGTTCTTAAAAAAAGGGACGCAAACAATCAATTTGAGTGTTTACAAACAGGGAGAAAATTGAATTCTTATTTCACTCAAACATGTAAATAAAGTCGTCGCATATCTGATACGGGTTATGCCATCTGATGGAGGCCCCAGTAGTGACAGGCGCAGGATTTCGTCAGGATTGGCAGACTCGATTTTGATGTACGGAGCTCCTATCTGTAACAAGCCCCTCAGGAACAAGAAATACAGACGCTAATGCTCAGAAGCCAGTGAAAAATAAATAAAAAGGGCGCCGAAGCTGGAGGTTACGAAAGGCAGGCACTTTTCATCAGATAGCAGGAGAGATGGATCGCAACTGGCCATGGAGCATGGACTAGGGGGCTGATTTCGGATATTAAAAGTGGATTGACAAGAGATACAGACATGTATATTGCAACGAAGATGAGGATGCTCCTATTCATCAACTTGAATGCGGTAGATGGGTTGACTACCAGAAACAGCTGGAATTGATGCTCGGTAAGAGGCTCACTGTTGACGATTTTGCCAGGCATGTAAGCGAGGGCAACTAGGTTGATATTCAACCAAAACTGTTACCGAGCATGTTACAGGATGGTAAGAACATACCGAGGAACCAATAATAGGTTTCTACTTGCTGGGTTATACATGAACATAGGTGCTTATGTATATCTCCCTTTGATGTGAAAACTTAACCCAACACTCTAGTGAGTATACCGCTTCTGGATAATCTTACACTTCAGGCAGTGATAGAGTCGAGCTTTTCTGCCTGAGAGTGGCTACGAAAACTTTCGCCTGTCAAATAAAAGTCACTCAAACAAAATTCTTTAATGTAGTGTAAAGAATTATTACTGTCATGCACAACATTTTTCAATTCGTCGTTTTGGGACTAGACTACAAAAGAAGTATTTGTCTTAATACTGTGTTGACATTAGTGACAAATAGATGGAGTGATAGAGGTTATCATCCCAAACAGCCTCAATTATTTCAATTGACAGCTGGGGTAGTATACATGACTTTGAACTCTTCTGACCAAAAAATGTTAAAATCTTGTTGATTTTTTTATAGAAAAGCTTAGGTAATATTTGTATCTGAACCAGACAAGAAATGAATAGGTTTAGAGTCATCGAATCACAGAAGGACACGTGATTACAAAACCAGCAGAACCACTATAAACGGCTACTACTTTAACAAAAATCTGGACAACTTAATTCATTTAGAACACTACCTATTTCTTGCATTTATCTTTATCTGAGATCTAATTATCTGATTTATTACATTTTCATCAATATTATCATTTCCCAGCTTACGTCAACAGCGCTGAATAAGGAAAATACAAACTTACGAAATAAGGAGAATGTGTTAGTCTCGGTAACTAACGGTGCTTTCTTATTTAGATAGGTAATGAATAATAAGGAAGATCATAACGAAGCAGCAAAACAAGTGCAATAAAAACTTTTAATACATTTTTGGGTAGACGTTTTTTTCCGCATTTCAGATTATCAAAATCAGGGCAAATAAAACATTTTCCCTGTTTTAGACATTTCGGAATAATGACAAAAAACATCAGTTCAAAATTTGGAGTTAAGCTGGAAGTACAAGTGTATTAATGGCGGTATATAAGCATAAGTAGTAAGACATTATCGCATATTGTGGCTTAATTGGAAGCGCTTATCTAAAGCGTTCCCATACGTGGTACTAAAAAGTAGTTAAGATAGTATTATCTGAACTTGTACCGATAATGTGTGACTGACAGGCTGTGCCAAATATCTCTACTTGACATGTCTTAAGCCAAACCATCCTGATCTATTGACCCCAAAATGTATTCCTGTAATCACATCATACATACAGGTGTATGAGCGGTACAAACTTTTTAATTATGTTAAACTTTACGGATGGTAACTTGCTAGAAGTATTGTCAGTTAAGTACTTACTAATAACGTGTATCATAAACGAGCCAAAGACCACCATCCAACCCCAGCCACCGTCTGGTGGTGCTGGGCTGTCGCTCTCTTCCTCCTCATCCCTTGGTCTGCTTGTCCCGCCGTGCCCCCCAGACATGATGTTGACACCCTGGAAAGAAAATACACACAGTGCGATCAAATGCGCTTGAACAATGTACACTTTTTGTCAGTGGCGAAGATTGCTCGTAAGGGCCCCATATCAAAATTTATCGTGGGGTCTCATCCAATTGTGTTGAATCCAAAATATGGAGTAAATAGGTCAGGGTCTCATATAAGAGGGTTTTCCAGCCCTGAAAATAACTCAGATTTCAGGTTGATTGCATCTTTGAAATTCTTATATTTAAATATCTTAGAACAAACGACGCAATTTTTGCATTTTTTGTCCAAAATTCACCCATTTTCAACTCCTGTTACTTAAATCCATGATCAACTGCACTAAGAAACCAAACGTATATGAGAATGAAAGTATTATACATTAAAAACAAAAATCAAGTAGATTGACTTCCCACGACTTCCAAACAACTTCTAGTACAATCTTCCATGTAGTTGAATGGCATTAAAATGACTTGTGAGAACCATTTTTACCTAGGGAATGAGTCTCTCAAAACGTTATAGGACTTTGTAGAGCAGAATTTCCATTTTCGTCTCACGTTGGTACGTTTGTTATACGTAGGTAATTTGAGACCCTAAATTTGAATATGCTAGCGCTATTAAGGAGTACCTAAGCACACAGGAAACTTGGAGCCTGCCGCTGAAGAGGCCCAGATCAGAGCGGAATCCAATGCCCTATTTTGCCGTTGAGGAAAATTGAAGAGCGAGGGGGGTGTCAAATTCGTTTGATTTTTGGGCATTTGAAGTCCCTTGTCAAGCCAAAGTCGTGAAAATGGACCCCGTGTGCCCATACGTTAAAGGCAAATTAGATTAAACTGTACTGCGGGTACTCAAGTTTTGTCGCCAGTACCACAACGTTACTCATTCGTTCAACACTCGTGGATAACGCATGCAGGGTACATTTTACATATCTACGAACAGTGCGTCATAGTTATCAGGGCCACTTTCTGAAACTACTTACTGAAAATAATTGGGTAATAAATCATCGTAACCATCGATTCCATATCTAGTTTCATCGTGTTAATTAACTAACTTTTCCTTAACCCTCTTATGTTCTAATGATCTCCAGCTTTCCACTTTTACGGATTTCGGAACTGCGGGGAAAATACCTTCGGCTAATCCAATGAATGGAGGAAATTGGGAAATACATTTTCTCTTTTTACTCAGAAGATTATGGGAACTCTGGATAGGAATACAAATGTATGAATAACGCGTTGCTTTTGTGGCAAAGGTGCGAACTTTTAAGGGAAAAAGAAAATCAAATTAAGTCTTCTGGGTGTTGGTTCGATTGATCGATATTCCCTTGGAAATAGCTTCACTTTATTACGCAAATGTAGGTGAGTAAGCCCCATCGAGCCTTACAATCATTTCGGTTAGTATTGAGGGTCATGCGAAAACCAATATGCGAGGAAGCCTAGTAACGGTGAAAATTTTTGAAAATGAGATATGTTACATGACATGTACACTCAGCGAAAGTCAGGAGTTACCCTACCAAGCAAGGATAAAAATTGCTTTAAGACCAAATAAATCTAAAATACCTTTTTTGGTATAACAGAGTAAGCTTTGAACTCCAATTTATACACTTGATGGCCTCAGAAATAATGATTTTCAAAACCGTTTTCATAGCTATTTGTGGAGATCGGAGAACATTGAATGGCAGAGGTTTTTCTCAAATTTCACTATGAACCCAGCTCAATGATTTATTGCCCCAGAAAGCTTTTTTAGAGTTTTCTAAACATTCTGAGCTCAAAAGGTTCTTAGTAGCTTTCTCCAAGATCACCGTTTAAAGTAATAATCAGTTAAATGCCTGAAAAAACTTGAGTATAACCCGAAATGTCGGTAAAAATTATTATTTTTGAGGTTACCAAGTGTCTGAATTGAAGCTAAAACCGTCACCTACAAAACTCCGAAGAATATGTAAGGTTTAGATCATTTCAAAGTAATTTGTATCTTTGTGACGTGGGCTAACAAGAGATGAGATTTTCGCAGACTGTACATCACGTAAAACCATATCACTCATTTCTGTCTGTCTGTTTGTATGTCCACTAATCCTTGAACCTCATGTAACTTGATTAAAGTGAACCTCGGAAGTTGATGAGATGAAGAAAAAAGGTTACTACTATGTTAAGGACGAAACAGCTTTGTGGGTTTTGAAAATTGATTCAGTGCCAGCGAAGCTACTGGCATCTCCTATAATTCATGCTATTCATTTCATCATCTATACTTTTTGTACAAAAGCATTATTTTGGTAGGAATTGAAGTATTATAAGGCTTCTGTCAGAGAAAACTTTCTAAATAATGAAAAATACACGCGTATCAATGCTTTTTACTTTCTACGCCACTGGTGAAGAAGTATTGTAATCGCGAAACATGAGATATTGCGTTATGAATGTTATATGACCTCTAGATCACGAAAAAAACATATGAATTATTTCATCGGTTTGTCTGTCCTCTTATCCTTGGCCCGTCTAGAACTTAGGAAGTACCAATCGGATTTTTTAACACAAGGTTACTGCTATGCCAAGGTCAAAAAAGCTTTGTAGTTTCGGTCCAGTGGTGGTGGAAAAAAAGGCCTAAAACGAAAAATATTTTGAGGTTTCTAAGGATCTTGATAATTTTCAGAAAAACTTTTGAAGGGTCAAAAATTCGATGTTGGGGGTTGTAGGTGGCTGATATTCCAATTTGTTTTGCTAACAATTTATACGTTTCCAACCCCGCTAATTCGCACCTATTAGATATACCTGTATACCATACATCATAGATATACATTTGCCCTTAAAACCAGATATGTATTCGATAATATGCATGCCAGACAACGCAACGAGCATACGTCGAATGAAGGTTCAACGTACCTGATGCCGTTTTTTAAAAACACCGCTGTTGCTTTGGCACCACCGAATTTATTTTCTCCCCTTGATAACTAATGGGTGCGTAGATAAGGGCATCATATGACTAAATTCCTTTGTCTCCTAGATGTTTTTGATAAATCATCTTCTGTTCTACAAAAGAATTGGTGATGATTCAATCTGAAGTATGCGAATGACCGATGCACTATCTATCTTGAATAATATGATAAATTTTGTAGTGTTAGTACGTTTTTGTACACAGATTAAATCCTCATATCTTCAGCTGGTTCATAATCACTTACTAATAGATTAATGAGAGTTGACAAATGCGTCACGGTCCAAGACATGTTATCTAAATAAAATGATTCCGATAGTATTACTGCATGTTGTTCCTAATCAATATACGCATATATATATTAGATATGCAAAGTTTATTTTGGATTGGAAAGATTAACGAACTTAAGCTAGAAATACACACGCTCCCGCGCTTAGATCGTTTCCAAGGTGTAATTGAGTATGCGTGAGCGATTTTAGTTTCTACGGTACTAGCGAGGCAATGAGCCGTATTCATAAAACAAAGGATATCCTTGTACTTGCAAATTTTGAAGGAAATCCTCCAGATGGTATTTATAGTAATTTATAAATAAGCATATCATTCAAAGCAGTGACATACGTAAAAGGATATTCATAATCTTCACCTCATACTTGTCATAGGAAGCATATCCTTCAAAAATTGAGTGTGGTCAGTAGCAGATTCAACTTCGTAACGAAAGGAGATCAAACGATGGTGGCGGAAATTGTGGATGTTAAGGATGTTAAAAAGTACAAACCTCGTTTATCTTCACTTGGTCGTGACTTCAAAAAATTATATCGGTTCTACGAAGCAAATGTACAATGGCTTGCGGACAGATTTTTAGTTGACAATGAGGAAATTCGAGGAGGAGCACTTTCATGTATTCATAAAATCAAGATATGTTTACGCTATCTCGGTGACCCTGGATATCAACAAGGTATTGGTCAGGAACTTGGTGTTAGCAAGCAACGGTATCTCGGACTGTGGATAGAGTTGTGAACAGCATAGTTGTACAGTCGAACGAATGGATCAAGTTTCCAACTACCAACCATGAACTGATGGAGGCCAAGCGGATATGGTAAAGCATGTATACATTTCCGACAGCAATTGGTGTAATTGATTGTACACATATATTAATCCTGAAACGAAATTGCCATGGAGATGAGTATATCAACCGAAAAGGGAAACCTACTTTAAATGTGCAAGCCACTTGTGATGCCAGCGAGATGTTCACAAGTGTTGATGTCAGTTGGCCTGGATCAGTGCATGATTCCAGAATATGGAGAAATTCACAGACTAGATTATAACTAATAAATAAAGCAAATGTTGTACTACTTGGCGATGACGGTTATGGTATTGAGCCATGCCTTATGGCTCCCTTCATAATGTTGCGAAGAGCTTGGGCGATTCTGATTTTGAGTTAGTTGAACAAGACCCAGATGAAGATGAAGGAAATCATGAGAATTACGAACTTCCTCTCCGCCAACTAGGTCAACAAATAATAAGAAACTTGAGTATTATAATAAATAGTCTTACTAATTAAAGTGAATTTATAAGTTATAATAAGTTTTATTTTCGTGAAAATCATAAGTTACAGATGGCTTCTGACGCTGCATCATTTCTAATTTCGTTTTATAATACTCTTGTTGTAAAATACTTGTTTGGTACTGCTGTAATAACACTGGACGTTGCAGTTCTTTTGTAGTTAACCCTTTGGTTTCCTCAGTTTCGTATTTCTCTGTTGCTAATTTTCTTTTTGGTGGCAATGTCTTCTGAATTGCTGGTGCTGTAATTGTTTGCTCACTGCGCTCGGTATATAGTTCACTTCCTTCTTCTTGGACACTACCAACCTGAATGGCACCTCTAATTTTCCCAATTGTAGGATCACAGTCACCTTCCATAGCTTTCAGCAACTTTCTTTCCCAATCTAACAATTTAATTGCTTTATTTCCAGTTTTTTTCTTCAATCTTAATTCATTTAGTGTTTTTTTTTAATAAGTATCTAATGGTTTACCGAATGTTGATTCGTATTTTTTCAACATCTTCTTCAAGGCATCGTCCTTTTTTATTCTTATTTTTGCAACTTTTGCCAAATAATGGGAGCAATGGCAATTTCATCTGCGATGAACTGCAGGTCGTTGCCATTATTTTATATTGTTTCCTCATCACTTGAGGATGAGATGCTTATTGATTTGATAAAAAACTGTATCCAGTAAGAATACGGAATGGTCTGTGTAAGCTCTGGAGTACAACTGTCAGTAATGCTGAGTGGACGAACTCCCACGTCAACTACAAGCTGGAACAAGTCAGGACATGTTACTTCTTCTTGGAGGATATCCTCGCGAGTACGAGTATAATTTGAATGAATATGAAAACAATGGTATGCTTATACTTCTACCTTTTTCTCCGAAGCAAGACCTTATACTTTTACCTTATGCTTTCGAGGATATGCTTCTCTTTTATGAATACGGCACAATATAGCAATCGCGAAACACTTCGAAAATACATAAAGAAATAAATTCTTACAGCAGTGTCTGCGTTCTCAATTTCTTCGGATTTTTGGGATAAATCAACAGGTGTTGAAAAATGGCTTTAATCAAATTGTCAACGTTTCAGCGTTTATTTTGCGTCTTCGTCAGCGCTACAAAAATGTGAAAAAAATACATTAGAAAATTCAAATTTGTTAAATGCAATCAAGTGAAAGAAGGTCATTTGAAAAAATCAATAAGGAAATACACAAGAATAAAACAGTAGAACAAACAAAAGAACAATGACACTAAACATACCTCCATATTAAAAGGTTTTATATGATAACTAAGATTCAACAAGTAGAAAATGTTTTTTAAAACAGAGGCATTACAAAGAAACATTAAAAAACAGATTTAAGAATCAAAAACGAATAAATATGAAAAACTATAAACGCCAAAACACCCTAACCTGGAATGAGATACGCTAAACACGTCTCAAGGGAAACAGACCGCCCGAGTAGAACATAAATGCAGTACTGGCATCTCTTTGTTTTGCTTTTATGTTCTATTCATTACTTTCACAGTCGATGTTTGTTTCGCTTGAGACGTGCTTTGCTTATTTCATGCAATAGGCAATTATGTTTCGGCTTTGACAGTTTTGCGTATTTGTTCGTCGTTGTTTTTTGAATCTGGTTTTTAATATGTTTCTTTGTAATGTCTCATTTGAAAAAAAACATTTGTAACTTAAGTCTGAATTATCATATAAATTTGAATATATACGCACGTTTATTGTCAAAGTTCTATTATCTATAGTTTTTATATTTTTCTTAGTGAATTTTTCAACTGACCTATTTTCACTTTATTGCTACATTTACAATTTTGAATTTTAAAATGTATTTTTTTCACACTTTTTGTAGCTCCGAGAAAGGCGTAAAATGAATGCCAAAACGTTGGCAATTTGATTAAAAACATTTTTTATCACCTGTTGAAATTGAAAGCGAATTGCTAAAGTGAGATATGTTTTTTGAATGTTAAATGACATGTGCATCGCGAAAGCCATGTCGCTCATTTCAGTCGGTGTGTCTCTGTCTCCCTCTCTATCTGTCGATAAATTATTAGCCCGTCTATAACTTGGAAAGCACCGCTCGGATTTTGATGAAGTTTCCTTACATCGACACTACTATATCAAGGACGAAAATACTTTGTAGCTTTTGAAAATCGATGTAGTGGCAGTAGAGTTGCGAGCAAACAAAGAAACAGAAAAGATGAAAATTTCTCAAACCTCGTTTTTTTGACGCTTCAAAGTCTCTTCATTTTCAGAAAAGTTTCTGTAGGGATAAGCCGTTAGTATATTTATATGTTATGTTATTAAAAATATTTCACATATCACGCATTTCCCTAAGCATTTGCCCTTAAAATTTAAAATGATGATGGAATATTTTTAATGCGTGTCTCTGCTCTCCGGGTTTATCGGCGCCACAGTCTCACCGATGAGTGTCTTGCCATGAGTGCCGTGCTGCTGAGTCTGCCGAGTGGATGCATCGAGCGGTGATGTAAGGGTGATGGCGACGTTGCCAGATGAACGGTACTATCGATAAACAGGAAAACATGTCTACGGACTAATTGCATAAGCCTGTTTGACTGATCTGATTCGTTTAATTTATCTATTATATACAATCGTAGCTAGCTTTTGTCTGAGATGGCCGAACGTGATGCATGTAGAGTCACCCTACTTGTCGCCATTTTTTTTTGTTATTTTTCCGCGTAAATGCTAAACATGTATCCCGCATCCACATTTTTACTCTGCCAACTACACCACTTTGTTTAATTTTTTCATGTTAAATTTAGTAAGTGCTCGTAAAAAATGGAAGTACTCTGAAAGCATATGTCGAGAGATTAGAGTATGAGATAAGAAAGAGCTAGAAAGAAGTAACCTTAGCAACGATAGCACATTTTAAGTAGGTCAGTATAAAGGTTGCTTCTTAATGATGTGCTGATACTCCCCAGATAATTTTATAAAGAAAAGTTTATGTGTGCAAGTGCTTACTTTAGGCATTATTCTTATTTTTGGCATATTATAGGAATATATAAAATGACACATTTCAGTGTAAAAAGTTATTCTATTGCGCCACCAGTGGCATCCCTGCAAACATGTCTTGTGACGCTTTTTGGTATGTAACTGATATTTTTAAAAGTGAATATTTTGTCTAGTTAGCTTGATATTATTTCCATATAAAAACCATTTCGTAATATTTTTCCCAGATGCACAGTGTTTGGTTAAAACGATTAAATGATAAGTGCACACCAGAAAAATTAGTTTCGTTGAAAAATATCAGCAGCGTACCAATTGTTTTTGGAATAAGATACCAGAAGACATGTTTCAGTACGTCACTGGTCGCATAATAGAATAAATTTTTGTACTTAAATATGTGATTCTACATCCTCTTGTAATATACTAAGATTAACAATAATATTTACTACTTTTGAAGACTGAAAATAGGAACCATTTCTTTCTTTAAAATACAACACCGTGTAGTAAAAATTCAAGCCATTGTGGATATATTTTGACACATGAACATTTTTCTGCATGGAATTATTTGAGCAATGATATCTTGAACCATTGAACGTCATTGAGAAACAACGGGCAAAACATAAGGGTGTAATTACAGGGGCTTTGACCGAGATTTTCGAAGACGTAGCAGGCTTCGCTAGTGATGTAACCTAATGACCTAATTGTGTGGTAGCCAGAAATTGCATTTGGAACGCGGCTATTGTTAAACATGCTGCTTTTGTTTGTGGACATCGAGAGCATTCCTCAAGGCCTATCTTCGAGCGACTATACGAAATTCGCACAGGGTCCAAAAATATTAGGATGTACCACTGTCCATATACAGGGTGACTTCGAAGTTGAGTCATTTATTTTAACAGTGTGTAGATCTGATCAAAAGAAATGTTTTTTTCCTTTACCATTTTTCTGGTAAAATTAAAGTAACAAAGTTATAGCCCTTTGGAAGTTTGAGTACCGCCCTGTCTCAATAATATCATGTGTTCGTGTTTGGCAACAACGGTTCATCGCATCGGAAACAAAAAAGCGAAAGAATTTGGAACGATGTTTTTACGATTACAATTCAGTTCAGTTATTCAGTTTCAGTCGCGCGTGAATAGTGTCTGTTGCGTGGCTCAAACGAAATAAAAAATGGCACATGTTTATGCGGATCGGTTTCCCAATCGAGTGCAACCAACCCCTCGTGCCTTTGTTAATGTAGTACAACGGGCTCGTGAATCAGGTGACTTAAGACCTCACAGGGGACCTCACGATCAAATACAGGTCCGCACTGGAATACTTGTCGGGAGGATACTTTATAAAACAAGGTAAAATTTTTTTTTTAATTTTTTTTTTATTTTTACACACATATTTTGGTTTATCTTCCTTCTACAATCATTATCTGAAAATTAATGACTCAACTTCAAAGTCACCCTGTATAAACGTGCTAGAGTGATGAAATTTGATGTATTGATGTGCAGAAAGGTTGTTAAGACAAACAAAAATGATGCGCTAAAGGGATTTTTGAATGAGTTTTTTTGATGCTTCTTGGGGTTTTACTGGATAGCTGGTGCAAAAGAACACATCAAAAACCATATTCCGTAACAAAAACAAATAAATATATAAAATTAACAGATAATTAGATACCGTAATTAGATTATTAAAACCTATATTTAGATTTGTTATCATAGGTCATATTTAATACGTACATGTGCAATTTGCAATGCGTTTTTTACACATTAATGAACCCCTTCGTAGCACCATGAATCTATCCACAGTTTCGTGGGTGATACCATCTGGCATTTGAGTTATCGAGAGTGGTGGAGCTATCTTTACAAATAAAGTAACGATGAGGTTGGTAGTACTGTCATCCAATCAAAGATCTAGAGATTATCACTGCGTGGCGAATAACTCCACTAAAACGGTTTTTTGGCCCTGAAGGCACCTCATATTTTAAATTGATCTATGAAATGTTTGCAGTTAAATATATGAGAACAGGTATATTTTAAACTTTCATCTTAGTGCATGACTGTTCTTCGTGGCAAGGTTTTTTGATTGCTGATTTTGTTTCAAGTAAATATTACTTGGAAGCTAACTATGTATTAGTTTCTTGTGAATCAGTTTTCAGGTTATGGTTAACAATCCACAAGCCGTTGTTATGGCAACGCTACTTTTATGCCTCTACGTTGCGGTTTGACCACAACTTTATACTTATCCCATGCATCGCCCTGTAGTTGGAGCAAACTACCACTTTAGGATAAACTTGACATTGGAAAACGCTTTTTGAGAATTAACTTCTGGTGAGCAGTCAAATTTCAGTTAACTTGCGATTCAAAAAGCGGGTCTATTAGCCCAAAGTTCACAATTTTGGCATTTTTGTCCAAAATTTATCTATTTTCGAATATCCAGCTTACTATTTGTATTTTAGACGAGCGCGTAACATGTCCTACTTCAAATCTATAATAAAACAAAGAAAAACACATTTATGAAAATGAAAGGTCAACTGCGCCGACAATAGAAACAAAAGTTGAAACAAATGAATACACATTTATGAGACTTGTGTTTTTAATGTGTGTAATAACACGCTTATTTTTACATGGTTTGTGTCTCAGTATGTGTGTGTTATAGATTTGAAATAGGCGATGTTGCGACCATACAAAAATAGTATGTTGAATGTTCGAAAATGCCGAATTTGAGACGAAATGCCAGAATTGCGAAATTTATGCTTGCAAAGAAAAATATTGAGATGAGAAGAAATGTTGATGAAAGCTCAAAATACACATGTTCTCATTTGACTACAAAAATTTGATTGATGCGATCGACTTGAAGGTTTAGTTACATTCAGGGCCGAAATCTCCGCTTTAGATCCCGATCCTTTCCGATTCTGAAGAGATAGGATGAACTTTACCAAAAAAAGCTCAAACAGGTGATATTACTAAGACATCGTAACGTTAACTGTAGAATTTGCTGGCGAGAAGCTTGTGACTTCAACTGACTCAGAAGGAGTATTATGTTTTTCGTGCGTGGGTAAGCATGTATGTGGACAAACAATTATATTTCATGGGCCTCTGGCTAAATAGCTTAACGGATTTTGACAGGTCTGTAATCAGTGCGAGTGACCCTGACTATATTAA